TCTATCTATCTATCTATCTATCTATCTCTGTCTTTGTGTTCATGTTTATATTAATCTATACGTATGTATGTGTCTGTCCGTTCATGAATCAATCAATTTGATGGATTGGTTCGTTAATTTTTAATTTCGTAACTTAAACAGTTCCGTTTCGTATATAGTGATGGTTATCAGAGTCTTCTAAAGTTTAGATAACTGCATTATTTTTTTATTAGAATATTCATTGCTTTTTCTTTGTGCTCTCTGCAGACAGACAAGTGTCTGGTGAAAGCAATGCATTGGTCGATCGACATGCCGAAAGGGGGATCGGAGGATCATCGCGGTCTGATGGGGAAGTGACCAGATATGATGATGTATTCAACCATCCTTTCATGAATGGTCACCTTATTGATACGTACCTCGCAAAGTGTGATGCATGGTACAACTATGGCCAGGCGAATGAAATTCATGAGAGAGAACAACGTCTGAATGGAAAGAAGCCTTAAGTGGAGTACAACATAGAAGGTAAGGTTCCGACTTTGCGTTGAGGAGGATGTGTGGGCGCCACTTGACAGACAATGAGGGTCTTCGGTGGACTCAGGACGAGTTGCTCGAAATGTTGGAAAAAGAAGGAGCGCGAGGTCACTACATTGAGAAATGTTGTTGTGAAAGTTGAGTTGAATGCACGGACGGTGGTGGAAAGTTTCATAGAATCAAAACGAAAGGAAGAGGTAAGAGATTCCTCTGTGTCTGGTGATGGTGTTATGAAGAAGGAGGTGGATGTTGCTGAGGAGTTGGACAAAGAGTTTAAGCGTTTAATTCAATCTCAAATCAGAGACGATTTGTTGGACGCCGTTTGTGAGCTTAGTACTAAAGTTGAGCCGCATGTTTCAGAGGAGCTTAAGGATTTGCGTGACCGATTAGAGAGAGTAGAAAGTGAGATAAGAAAAGTGTTGTTAAATGGTGCCTTACCGTCAGCTGATCCTTCTTTTGCCCCGTACCTGTTTGGGATTCCGTCGAATGCAACTCTGGAGGACCTTCCGAAAATGCGTTTGATTGCTATGTTGGAATCGTTACGGAAGATCGGTGGAGAGCTGGTGCATAGGAATGCATTGTTGGAGGTGCAAAGTGCAATGAAGTTTCCCGTGAGTGATAGTCAGTTGAGGGAAACAGTGATTGCGCTTGGACATTTGTACATGGAGACACATGGAGAGTTTATGAATTCTACATTCAGGCAAAATTTTYCGCATCTATGTGACGAGGGATTCACGATGGCGATGCTTAAAAATTACAAAGAACAATTGTACTGTTTGAGAGTTTTATTGGGGAATGTCTGCAATGCTCATTTGCCAGTACCGTTTAGGAATGAAATGACACATGTCAAAAGGGAGTTGAATGCTCTGGCGAGCATCAACATGCAG